TGGTCTCCCTATCACTTCAGCATGCAATAGTGTCTAAACCTCCAATAACCCAGACCCTTACTGCCACTGCCCTCGTTTTGCTGGGGGGAATGGGCTCCTAAGTGCCCTGATTTTCCTCAGTGCCAACCTTTGGCCCCAGTAAGGCCTGGAAGCCATACCAGCCTGCCCCCTGTATAGCACACGCTACATGACCCTGGCCGCAGTGGAGGTCTCCCTCTGGACTGGTCCCCCACAGCAGCTCGTCTTAAATATTACATTAACTTCCACTAAAGTTACTCCCTTTGCTCAAACTGGTAAGCAATTTTTTTTTTAAAGTAAAGAAAAAAAAACACTTTTAAGAGATGAGCAGGCGATGGATCCAGAAAGAGAACCTGGATTTGAGAAAGCAAATAAACTAAACTTTAAGGAGAGGGGGAAAAAAATATAGACTTCATCATTTAAACACATGACAGCTTTGAAAGAAGCCGTGCACTACAGTATGTGGATTCTGTGGACAAACCGTAAAGGTTAATCCTGTTAAGATAGCAAAAAAGTGACTTCGTCAGGCTGCTGACTTGTTAGCCCTGCTCTCTTTGGTACAGATCACAATACCTCACTTCCCATCCCTCAGGATCTCAGCAAGACGTTTCTGGAAGTTTCCCAAGTCTCGTGGAATACGTGCATAAACCAGATAAGGCCGGAGCATCACACCTAGGAATGAGCTACAGGAACACAGGGCAGACTCTTCCACGCGGAGAAGAAGGAAGCAAACTGCACACTCAGCCACATCCCGAAGCGCATTTATTCTTTTCCACGAGGACGCGTCTTCGTAAGTGAGGAAACATCTTTTTTTTTTTCTTTGCTCCAGTGCTTATCTCTCAGTCAGTTTCCCTTTTCTTGCTCTCAGGCCCCGGCTGAGGGCATTTCCATGTCGAAACGAAAAAATACCTTTCTGTCGAAACTGTTTCGTTACGAAGTAAACTAATTGATAAACTGCTGCTTTGCGAAACGAGAGGAAGTCCAGCAGGTTAACCAGGAGGCTGTTTGAATATCCTGCAGGGCACTGCGATTGCACCCTTGAGCAATGTGCTGTGCTCAGTCTGCTTCGGGAAAATGCCCAGTTATATAAACTGGCACAAATGCAAGTTGGTTTGGATAAAGCCAAATTCATGAATGATGATAATTAACTGGTGGCTGGCGTGATTTTACAGCCCATGCACAGGAACAAATCGGTTGCCTCAGACGGTGCAGACTTAAAATGCACTGTGAATGTGAACATTTAAAAATGAGAACAGAAACTATTCATTTCCAGAAGGAGTTGTCTGAAAGTGCCCACAGCGGCCCGGCCATGTTGCTAAAGCTGAACCTTTGCTTCACTCAAGAAATGGACAGATGGATGAGATTTGTTGATTAATTAGAGACAACCAACGGGGCTGGGCGTGTCTCCTCTGATTTGCAAGTCTTACCACACAGTTTGGAACTCCAGTAGAGTTTTCTGGTACAGCTGCCATTATGCTGACATCATTACTTAAAACAATCGTTTCAAGAAGACACTTACAAAACAAATGAGCAAACAAATGAGGATATTATGCACAAAACATGCTTTAAAACTAAGAAATCTCTGATAGTTGGGTATTTCCACCCACAATTCCCTGGGACAGCGCCGTACCTTGCCTGTGGCACCATGGGAGACAAACTGGGCGCCCTCACGCTGGGCAATCTTGACCTGGCGGCGCGCAATGCAGGGCCGGGCAATGGAGGTTCCCAGGAGGTAGCGATCCTCATAGATGGCGCTGGCCTGGACCGCTGGCCAGATGAACTCCTCCACGAATTCAGCTCGCAGGTCCTCAATGAACACCTGTGAGGGCGGATCGACAGGGGAAGCCATTTAGAAACATGATTTGAACCATAGGTCATCCAGCAGAGATCACATTCCCAGCACCTGCTTCTAAGCGGGTTAAGTATGCCATGCTGATGTGCTCATTTCTGTTCTGTTTGCATGCAGGCCATTACTACTGCCCTGTAGCAAAGGACATCTAAAATGTAGGCTGAGCACAGATCCAGAGTTACAAATATTAATTGATCGCAAACTCTGTGATGTGTCCTTCCATTTTAGACTCAGAACCTTTTCAGAACAGATCACATAATTAAAAAAACATGAGGATGAAATGTGCAGTGGAGGGACAGGATAAGGTAGCTGAGCCAGTGTAGGCAGGACGTTAGACCCGAAAGAAGTGAGCATTTCCTGTCTAAAGTCCCTTGTAGCTCCTATAGGCAAGGGAAAGGAGTCTAAATGATTTGGGTTGAGGCCTGAATGATCTCTTCTAGCATCTGCAGATGGGTGGTCTCGGTGTGTGATGTGAGTGAAAACAAATGGGCTGCTGTTGTGACAGGGATGCAAAGTTTATTAGATTGTTGCTCCTGGCCAAACAGGATCTGCCACAGGTTCTGCTGCTGGGTGGGGGGGGGGGTATGAGATGAAAATCTGAAAATCTGCTGCGCTTTTTAATGTGAATATAGAGAACTGTGTGTTAAGGTGTAAGTTCCATGGACCAGTGTCTCTGATTCTGTTGAATTCTGTTGAATGAGTTGAATTCTCCAGTATCTGCAGGTCTAAGAGACGGGGTGTTGAAGACTCAAGATGAGATGCTGGGGGTCATGGAGCGAATTACTTTAATGAACATAGGTGTGCAAAAATATAGGACACCTCCATAGATTGATAAGGGGAAACCAACATGGCAAAAATATCCTGTAAAGGGTTCATACTGCCAAGCCACCGGTTTGCAGTTCTGATCCAAGGCAGGTGCTTCCAGACCTGGTCCCGAAGGACCAAGCTCCTGCTCAGTTCTCTCTCGGCTGGGCTCTTAACCGCATCCTCAGCTGAGCTAATGATTCTCTTTGCTGTCAATCTTTCAAGCAAAATCCTACTTAGTCGATTATGTTGCTTATGAAACTTAAATTAAGTTTGGAAATGCAAGCTACGATGTTTAAGAGCTGAAAACAATAAAGCAGTTCAAGTGTTATTAGGCTTTGCAGCAGCTTGAAAGATGCTTGGGAACAAGATTTGAGGAAATGACTGGGCAGTTTGCTCCAGACGCCAGTGTACAGTAAACCTTCTTGATTTTAGTCATCGGTCTGGGAGAATACCCCTCTTGCCCCCTGTACCTTTTTTGCTCCCAGGCTCTGCGCCTTCTTCTGCGCGGCGTCAAAATCCTCATCCTGCCCGATGTTGGCCTGAAAATGAGAGAGAGGAGAAAAAAAATAAAAATAAAAAAATGAAACAACCTCTTACCTTTTGCCAGCAGGCTCCAGAGGGGATTTACCTGGAGTCTCTGCTGCACAGGAGTTTCTTTCAAGCTGAAAAAATTTAGACGAAAACCTCCTTTGGAATGAAACGCGAGCTGTGCTGTGCAGGTGTGAATGGGTGAATGGATAAACACAACCAGGAGTCATTTTTCCACGTTGTGGCTCATGGCTACCAACCCTGTAGCCACACCCGAGGGAGAATGAGGATAGGCAGGCGGACTCCTGCCACCTGCCCTCCATCAAGCCATTTATTTTCACAGGTCACAGGCAGTGCAACCCAGAGGAGAGACACATTCCTCATTGACCGCACCCTACGCCTGCAAGTGTCTGGGACACACCAGGGGGCACTACCCCCCCGACTAAATCGCACCCCCTCTCTTGGTGGCGTTCAGCTAATTGGGGGATCAAATCCGTCAGCTGCTGGCAAGACCCAGGGTCGAACCAGCAACACCTGGAGCACAGAGCACAAGCAGCTCCAGGCGAGCTCCTTCAGTTGTTCAGCTGCGTGCGCCGATATCCCTTCTCTGCATTTCTGAAGCACCATCTCTCTCATCACTGATCTGCCTTTCATCAGGAAGAAGGAATACAAGTTGACGTCTCTAGATCAGGGAGAAGAGGGGGGAGCTAAGCAAATTCTAATTTGGCATTAAATCATATTGACGAGTGTGACATTCACAAACGTTCAGGCCTGACAGGGGTAAGTCCATCAAATCTTACTTGGCATAAACGGCTGTGGGTCTTTTCACAGAACACAATCACACTTGCTAGGAAGTTGTTCAGTTAGTTCCTAACACCCCAAAACACACATTTTCTTCTGTACATAAAAGGTCTTTATTTGGCCACATAACAAAAATGCTAACTAAGCTCTAGGACGTTATGTTAAGGTATGGTTTTCATAAGCTGATCATAATCGAAATAATTCTCATCAAAACACAATGGCGTGACAATGGTGAACAGACCCTGCTGGTAATCCATCAAATGAAAGCTCAGGCGAGAGAAACTTCGGTCCAATGAGCCATTTCGTAAAGCAGCCAAAGGCTATGCACTCAGATAAAAATGGGTGATTTATCTGTCTGACAGCTAGACCTGACAGTGGCTCAGTGTTCTGCTCAGTCCTTCAGATTTCTAATCAGGCGTGTAGACGTCCACACTGCACTCATCTGCACAAGGCCGAAGACACCGTGACAGGGCCCGGCCTCAGAAGTGACACATCGGTTTTTTACCTTTGGTAAATGATTCAGTTCATTTCGGATTATACTTAAATAATAGGGAAGGACCAGGAACACTCAGTGCACCTTCTTTTTACCTTCGGCAAATGCGCATGTTCGACAAGCACCTGCATTGCTGTTTCACACAGAAATAGAGAGTTAATCCGAAGTATCAATCCATTTTTCCAACCACTTTATCCAATACAGGGACACAGGGGAGCTGAATCCTATCCCAGCAAGCAATGGGCACAAGGCCCTGGATGGGATGGGACTTACCAGATGCCAGCCTATCGCAGGGCACACACAGACACAAACACACACTCACACCAGGGCCGATATTCCCAGAAGCCCATTCACATATTAGTATGTCTTTGGACCATGGGAGGAAACCCATGCAAACATAGCGAGAACACACAGACTCCACACAGACTGCACCCCGGGAATTGAACCCAGCAATGCTGCCCGCTGTGCCGCCAAGCCACCATAAACGTCAAAGCATCTTGTCTTAAAACTGGGGTCAAAGAGGCACGGTGTCACGCACACCCCCCTCGCGGTCGAGCTCCGTTCTTACCAAATAGGCGATGACATCGTAGCCCTGCTCCTTCAGCCACACCAAGATACAGGACGTGTCCAGGCCACCACTGTAGGCCAGAACCACAGTGCCCTTCGACTTGGACATGATGCGTGCTGAAACCTACAAGAAAACAGCACATGACTGACACACGGACCACTGGACCACATTACCTATCAGTGGGAGTCAGGCTTAGTCTCAGGTCTTCCCAAGGCTCAAGACACAGATGATGTTTATAAAGTAAAATAGAAAAAAAAAACACGAGGCTATACATATAGGAAAGAAATATACAGTAACTATATGGACAATATATATAGTAAAATCCGTCAATCCTTTATTTATCCAATACACAACCACCTGCATGTTCTCAGCTCGTTTTTCTAAAACTACCCCCGGATGATAGCTTTATTTTATTCATTTTGGTTTCTCTATTGCAAAACACTATACTCCTGTTAAGCAACATTTTTAAAAAAACCCACAATATTCCTCTATTGCTCAACCTAACTGAAAGAGTTTCAGTTTTCCTCAACGCCCTCAATACAATTTGAAGACCCGTTCATTCCACGGTCGTGGTTTCCGAGTTCCGAAGCCGGCCGGACACGCCCTGCCTGAGCCGCCAGTTCGTCACTTAACCTAGAGATCCTGCCCTTTGAGGAAGCTGGGGAGGAACACCTCGAGGAAGCTGGAGTGCCCGAAGAACACCCTCACGGACACGAGGGGGAACATTCAAGCTCCTCACAGAAGGTGACGACGACCTCCGTGTCAACAGCGCTCCGTGACCTCACACCTGAAGTCGGCCGAAACTTTCTATTACCGCGACTCACTGCCTCAAGCGAATTACAGAATTACCATGAGATGCAAAGCGTGCATCTACAGTCAGAAATAAACGACGCATAAAACTGATAAATGTACATTTTTTAAAAAAAAACTGTACGTTTGAGACGGATAAAAACAAGTCCCGATACCAGACTCGATTACAGACATAAATACCGGCGCCTCTCATTTTGAAACCATGTTATTCGCAGGCTTATTTGAAGTAAATGATAGTTATTTAACAATTACAACAATTATCTCTGAATTCGCTGACCACTGATTCCAATTGCAGCGTAGTACCAGTAAAGATCCTAAGTGAAGTAAGCGACTTCAGATCTATGACGCAACTGAGAGTTTAACTGGACGTACAGTGCATACTGTATTGACGGAGAATTATACAAAACTCAAAACAGACTAAAGATACTAAGAATTCATTTTGCTGCGGTAAATGCATTAGATTACAATATTTTCTTGATTGCTAATACGATGATTAATAGGTGATCCCCTGTCAAAAATGCAGACTTGCAATAGGATGTTAAAGAACAGTCTTTTTTATTATACTGGATATGAGAAAACTGATGATAACTCATCTTTAAAGATGACCCCTTTCACTGTAAAACCGTGTATATCCAGGAAAATAGTGTACAGAATGACGATCTGTACAGTGTTTTTTTATACTACGAGGTACTGCACCTGTCGCTTGTGTAGCGAGACGAGTCGCACATCTACTGTAATCTTAGGAAATTCATCCTCTATCCCTTTAGAAGCTGCTACCAGATAGTCAAAAGCTTAAGGCTAGATAAACGAATGAGTTAAGCAAAAAAAAGGAGTAAAAATGAAGGAATATTTGTTACAACATGCATACAAAAATACAGTATAGAACATTCTTCCCCTGTTTATTTGTATAACTGTGAAGCTTTGCTTCTGTGACGTGCACGCCTGAAACACTCCTCCATGCATTCTTTGAATGAAAACGAAATGTCTTACCTCGGAATCAGAGATATTTGAATGCAAGAACAATCTCCTTCTTGCACTGTGAGTACCTACAATTTAGCACTCCGTGAGGCAGGTTACGTCTTTAAGGCAGAATACACGCAGGTCTGTGAGCCAATCAAATATCAGACAGATTTTTTTTTTTCCCAGTAGAGGGCGTGGCAAAAAAAAAAATCTGTAATTCCACAGTCAGGGCACGGTTTTATTAAATTATTAAACCACAAGTACTTGAACTGCTATCTTTTGTGCTTTGTTCAAATACTGCAGACTGTTGTATTTGGTTTAAACGTTTTGAAGGTCTCTGCCTATGACTGCATTCCAAATAGATTCCGTTTGTTACGTAATGTTATTTTTAAAATTAATTTCACAAGACGACAGAGTGACACCCGAGCGGCAGGTAGACACATAAAGAAGTTTTCAAACGAGACCGTTCGTTCCTAGACCTTCATCATTCCCGTTTGGTAGTTAGAAGTTATTTGGTCCAAGCTGGTTTCTTGGAAGAATCGAGGGTAAAGCAGCTGAAGGGCGTTTGTAAAGTTTTAAATGACATTTCTTTCTCTCTGGGTTATTTTTGTTTCTCATTTTTAATCGGTTTTATAGTTGAGCCTCTGGAAAATGGCAGAACTAGCAGTCTACATTCTTTTACAGGTGAAGTGCGCTTTTGCAGAAAGAAGACGCTCATGAGAATATTTTGAATGCCTGGGCATCAATACTTAAAGGAAATGTGTTTTGTAAATCTTAGCCTTTCATATTGAACAAGGAAGTACTGAACATTTAATCTATAAGTATTGCAGTCTATTCACTTTCATTTGACAATATACTAGGATTCACCTCAGCCCATTTATGTGGAAACCCCCAGTTCCTAAGGCTATAATGTCCACCCACACAGAATGCAAAACCTGGGTCTATAATGTAATTAAAGAATATATTGGAAAGTCTCTCTCTCTCCAGAACAAGGAACAGACGTAACCCGTTTAGCCAGTTCAGGCTGCAGGAGTTTAATTAAAATGTTAGTTTTCACCCACACCCTGTGCATAACAATCAGTGTCCAGCAAACATGAAGAACGATATGATATGAAATAATCTGATACATAATTGCATTGTATCAGGCAGGAAATGGGAGCTGGCAACATGAGCCTGACGCTAGTCCGGGAAATGAGGACGTTTCTCCTGTGTTTTGAGGGCTAGAAAGTTCAATATGATAAGACAGCTTGTTGTAGCTGTGTGGCCAAAACAACAATATTGCTTTCTGGATAATTTAAATCTTACACAATTATTCATTTCAATTAAGCAGTAATATCTTTCTTCAGAAGAAGAAGAATATCTTTCATTCTTTCAAAATTCATTCTTTGGTCTAGCTAGAGTCATAGAACTAAATTCTGTAAGTATTCAGTAAATAAACAACAAAGCTTGGATTGTTTGCCGCCAACAATTACATTAAATTTTCTAAAGGACAAATTCTAAATATATTTCCGTGTCAAGAATCGTGACAGTAGAATTAAAGATTAACTTCCTTGTAGACTGAGGTCTAGAGTTTGGAAAGTCCTTTGTATTTGTAAAACCTATGCATCCTTATGTAAGGGGTGTTGCCACATCATTTCTTCATATCTTCCTGGCATGCTTATTTCAGTTCTTGGATTTCCTTAAAACAAGTCTTTTCACACCCTGAAGAGAAGAAAAACTAGCTTTGGCAAAAACTTCCTACTTCCTGGTTTATTTTTCCCCTGTTACTTTTGTAAAAACATTAATAAAACAAACTATTTAGATTCTATGAAAATGTAGTTTTACTCTACTTGTCACTAATAGGTTTTTAGATACAAAATCAGGGAATAAATCTGTCTAAATGCTTGTGCACAGCTTAACCATAAACAAATTGGCAGGGATGCTCCTACAAAGGTTTTGTCTTTTCCCCTTTTCCCCACAGCACTGAGAAAAGAGCTTTTACTGTATTAACTCTGCCCCTAAAACAATTCCCAAAATTAAATTGCGTTCATTAGCAACAATGAAAACAGCATGATTAACAAAAAGGACATCATAACTGCAGGTTGAGTGGAGTTTCCAAAAGCCGGTTCTGTAAGGACTTCTGATGCACAAAAAGAAAATTGACACTTGTTGAATTTTTTTTCAGCCACTGCCCACGTGCAATTACGCAACAAGATTGACAGCTTTTGAATTTTTTTCAGTCACTGTCCACATGCAGTCACACAAGACAATTGATAGCTGTTGAATTCTTATCAGAACGAAATGCCTCTGTCCCAGCTCCGAGAGGGACACTACACCAGCATGCTGGGACGTGTGGTAAACAGGACGATTTTAAAAGGTTTCTTTTCCGGATATACTTTTATGCTGAACATTTCTGAAAGCAGCGATAGATGTTTCAAGCTGCAAACCTAGAAGAGATTTCACCCAGGTGTGGACAATTCTTCCGGCTTTCCAATACTCCGGTCCAAGAAAGAGAGCTATCCTGAAGCCATAAAGAGTTCTTAATCACAGATGAAGTAAGAAGAAAATAGCAACGCAGTCTAAATGCACAATGAGCTGATAACGTACAGTATGTTAGGAAAATGAGCAAATTACACTTTGTTAAGGCTTGTCTTTATGCTGATATCTTGCTGTCAGTTATTTTGTGCATCCCCGGTTTGAATCCTTCTCTGCTCAGGTTGCTAGGAGACGACAAGGACACCTGTCTGGTCAGCAGCCTTGAGGAAGACACCTGACCAGCGTAGAAGACCCGAGAAGTAGGACTACCTGCACCTGCACATGAACTTTAGGACGAAGACGAAGAATCACAGTCAATGACGTGAGTGTAGCCTGGCCAGGTTAAAATTGTAGCCATCCTGATTAATGAATAAGCCAAAAGCACTATGTGCTTACGTGCTATAATGAGCCCTAGCCTGCTAAATTCAGGGCCCTTTACTCGGACTGAGAAAGGGAGATCTCCGGAGCGTCGTGAAGAAAAAGCTAATCAGCTCTGCATCCTAGAATCAGCCTGATTTATTGTTATCTGCAGACGTGGGTTGTCCGATCTGTGCTAATTTATGAGCTTCACAACTGCCCTCAAGCTGCTGTGTTGTCTGAAATGTGACCAATTGCGCCTCTGAAGGAGGGAAACAAAAACATCAATATATTATCATTCCCACTCGTGCCCGTTCTTTGTAAATTGGTCACCTATTCAAAACTGTTCAGTCGGAAATCAGCAGAAGTAGGCTAAAAAGAGGCTTCGTGAGATTGTGAATGCTCAAGCTCTTGAAAACAGTACCCTAGAATCAGAGTCGTTTTTCAAACGCAAGACTGAGTTCAGAAACAAGTTAGCTAAGCAAAAACCCAAATATGCATGAGGATCAATTAAAGAAACCGATTAGCATCGGGGACTCAGAGCTCTTGACAGGGGCTGGGAACCACTGCCATACACGAACCACACTTCAGCAGGTATTTTGGGTGTAACCGCCACTAAGCGAAGCAGTAGACTGACATTTTCTATAAAGCAAGAGTCGAAACTCACTGTAAAATATTATTTTTTTCCGTTCAGAACCAAAGCGAGAACTTAGTAAGTGCTGCGATATCAATGTTGTAATTTACATACTGGGACTGACTATCTGGGACATTTGTTCCAGCTTAAAAGGGCGTTTATGAACTATGAGAACCAATTCACAGTGGTGTGTGCTTTTTTCTTTCAGAACTTCTGGGCTTTTACTGAACGACATAGCTATATTCTACTGCCCTCTAGTGACACCAACATTAATTTCACGGTACTATGTTTACGATGTCTAACGCTTCGTTATTACATGTACACAGGGTTGCTTATTATTATTTATACTGATGAAAAGTTTAACGTCCCTCGTTCTGCGCTGCCTGATCGTTTCTTCCTAGCGATCCCCATCAGCACTGAAGTTCCCCGGCTCCTGAGTGTTTTAAAATCACATCTGTGAACCCCCGATTCTACAAATATAGCACCTTCAGATCTGTACAGAAGTAAAACGGGAAGCTCGGTCCGGACTCGATGTGCCAACACCGGTAAACGAATCACTTTCACTAAGTTAGAGGAACAGCAAACAGCAGAAGCTTCAAGTGTAACTGGGCGAAGTGGGAAGCAGTACAAAAGACTAAGAGAATGTTAGGATATACAGTATATATATATGTATAACTTGGAAAAAGGTTGGACTGCCTCTTGCCTTAGTTTACTACTAAAAAAGTTCATTTCATTCAGTCACAATTATTTTACCATCCCCAACGTTTACCTTTCTTTTCAACCTCTAGATGGAGCTCATCTAATGAATTATCACAAAGAACTCTCAAAGTACAGGGCCCTTTTGCGAGTTTAGGCTTGTGGTGTGACGGTAACATAGATGTCACAACTTGAGCAGCACTAAGTGAGCAAGAAGGCTTATCCATTGTGTAACTGAAAATGAATAAACATTTCTTATAAACATTTAACTGAAACATTTGTTTATAAAGTCTTTGCTATCCCCTTTCTCATCATGGAAAGCTTTGCAAAAAGGTCTATCAGCCAAATGTTTGTGGCAATACATTTTATTTAGAAGTAACAGTGATGGTGAATGGGTACCAGTCAGTTCGTTTCCCCCCCCCCCCGAACACCAGGTCCACAAGTACTTGTGGCCATTCTTTTGTCAATTCTCAAAACTAGGCCTAGTTTTTCCCAAGAAGGCATCTATTCTGAGTGGCTGACTATTGGAAACCAGTCAATGCAGAAAAGTGACAGAGGGTTGTCTTGTCTTGGCTTTAAAATCAAGTTGTGCATCCCCCCATTTTAAAATGTTTGAGTAGTGGTCAGTATTATGCAAATTCACAGAATACGTGGCTTGGAAAAGTGAATATGAAATCAGAGCAATGATCTTGGTGGATTGTTTGGGACAGTTTTATTCCAATTTGTATGAACAGGCAAAGGAGAGGGGGCAAGAGTCTCAATCGAAACCTTTTAAAAGAATGACCTTATTATCACTCATACCCTTTACCTCATCTCACACAATTAATACAAGTCCTAACTACTTATTGCCATAATAAATAAAGCACCTACAAAATCAAAACTGTGTATCTTGTACTAACAATTAATTACATGAAATGGCTAGTGCAGCAAATAGTTGGTATCTGTTTTATATTCACTAATGTTAGGTAAATTACTTCTACCTAATGCATTTTGTGGAAACAGAAAAGCGAATAGTACTAAATAACCCAAATAAAGTACTAAATATATATTATAACTAAATATATCATATAAATCAGTATTCAGCATAGAAAAACCCCAAACATGGGCCATAATCTAGATGTATTTTTTTGGGAAAAAACTACATAACGTGAATTACAGAGGCTAAAAATCAAAGGGTTTGAAAAGTTAGTCAACATGTTTTTCAGGTCTCTACAGCAGCGGCACTGGAATAGCTGCCCTTGAGAGATTTGTTCAGGCTACCACAGTGCAATAAACAGTAGGAGCTCCTGACCAAATACACAGCCCTTAAGGCCACACTTGTCATTTCTCACACTGTTCCCAAAGCTCCACAAGCAGAAGAAACAATCAGAACACAACCGCGACATACATAATTTTTATTCTTTTTTTTTTTATCAGTCTCAAAAACAAATAACCAAAAAATACATTATAAATTTGAGGAAACCAATACACTTGAGGCTTTTCCTCTCTTTGTTTTTTTTTTCTTGAAGCAGAACACTGAGTGACACATTTCTGGGAGGTTTTTATTTTGATATCTGCGTAACAAGGTTGTGATCTTCCATTGTAAACTCTCTCCCCTCACAAAGGCCACCCAGAGGGACAGTGTGATTAGTTAGAGGCCATACCTTTATTCATGTGGCTTGTGCCAGCTGACACCAATACTTAATTTAAATATCCGAAACAAAATAAAAACTAAAACGTGGTTCTTAAAGGCCTTCTAGGTTATTTTATTTTAAAAAAAAGTAGACTTTGCACACAGTCCCCTATGACATTCACTGCCTTCCAGTAGGGAGCGCTTTAACTTGGCTGGGAAGGTTCTCTTCCATCATACTGCTAGGGAACTTCAGAGGGAATGGTGGGGAGTTCAGTGCCTGAAGACGCAACATATACACCAGTACATGTAGACAGCAGTGTGAGAAAAGTATGGGCACAGCAGAACAAGTTAAAACGCAGCTCTCGGGCACTGGTTGCTAAAATTGCCTACAGGCTTGCTCTTAGCTGTCTAGCAGAACACTAGGCTTTAAGAAAAGGTACATAATTCCTGCTGAAACAACCATAAATACAAATGTATATATTTACACTCCCTGATGCGATTCCAAAAGCAGCTGTAGCCTTTCCCAGCATCACAGTCGGCCTCTTTCAACGGCGAGCAGACTGGGCCTTTCAGCTGGGGGCAGGGAGGTGACGTTCAGGAAGCGACTCGCTGGCGGAATGACCCCTCGAACCAGTTTGACAATCTCGCGCGCAGGAATTCGCGACGGTATCAATCAGTCTTTTTGGCAAATTAATAGGGGGGTGGGGGGTGCTTAAAAAAAATCCAGTAACGACCATCTCTAGAGCTAATAAAAATGACAAAACTAAAAAAAAAACAGAAGAAGAAGAGGAGGAGGAGGAGGAGGAGCTGGGCGGCTGTCAGAGGAATGAGAGAGAGAGAGAACTCGTTGGCCACGGTGGAGGTGGCAGAGAGGCAGCAGATCTTCACCACTCCTTCTTCTTTTCGTCCATGGACACGCCGCCCGGCCCCAGCGCCACCACCAGGAGCAGCCCCCCGATGACCGACATCGTCTGGAAGAAGTCGTACTTGAGGAAGTCGTGCATCGGCTTGTAGGCGGGCACCGTCCAGAAGGCGTTGAAGTAGACGTTGATGGCGAAGAGCCACACGACCAGCGTGAGGGCGGCCAGCTTGGTCTTGAAGCCGATGGCCACCAGGATGATCAGCGCTGTGCCGACCATGTTCTGCAGGATCTGGAACGCCAGGTGGGGGGGGGGTTTGGAGGTTAGTTCATCGGGAGAGCCCGACTCCCACCCTCTCCAGCATGGTGGGCTTCCAGATTCTCCTGCTTTTACAGCATGGGGAGCAATCTTTCTGCAGAAACTGACAATGCAGCTCTGAACGCAGCTGTTACATGGGACGTAACCGGGGTAGCTGAATATTTAAGCAGCACTAGGGAAAATGACATTGCATTTCCCATGAGTTATTACCCGTTTGAATTGGTTTTATTCACTCTTTGCTTCTTATCAAACCCCCCTCCTGGGTGACGCACAGTAGCCAAATGAAGTAAGGGGGACATTTTAGGGGGGCCAAACTGTACAAGCCCAGAATGGGATTTAGACAGAGCCCACGGGCTGAGACCCCACTATTCCTATGAGCAGTATCGTTTCAATGACTAACGCCTCTCCCCAATAATGGCACCTCCTACAGGATCACGTAGGGGGGTAAGGGTTTGACTATTCTGAACAACCTACTGGTTCACCAACACCACTTGCAGCAGTACTCTGAATTTCCTCCAAGTGCCATCCAAGTACCGGCTTGACCTTGTTTAGCTTTTAAATATATCAAGATCAGGCCACAAGGTGGTATTGCTCATCGCCACAGGAAACACCTGAAGAACATAATTGCTTATTACGGTATCTAGCATATACTCCCCCACCACAACTGAAAGAGCTGATGCAAACAGAGGGAATGGGATTTGTTGAACAAAAGCAGGAAGATTAAAGAGCCACACCACAGCGCACAGTTCCAGCTACCGTTTCCCGCGAGCGAACTTCGCCACAGATCACAACGTTAACTCAGGCATCTGCGCATGGGCGTCGGAGGGGCGGAGGATCGCTACTCACGGAGAAGAAGCTGGGGTCAAAGTGCAGCAGCGTCATGAACATGAGGACCAGCAGGACGCGGCCCCCCAGCTGCATGTACTGCTTGGGGGAGCTCTCCCCCATGGAGGGCACCCCCGCGAACATGCTCTTCCCCTCCGAGCGGGACTCGGCCAGCAGCAGCAGCAGACCCCCTCCCAGCGCCAGGTTCCTGGGGGGGGGGAGACAGCAGAGATCAGGCACTGCGCCCCCGACACAACTCGCCAGCGCCACCCACCGCCCGGGCCAGCAGAGATACCGAGACCAGTTCCACCGGGACAGGGTGTGCAACTGCACATCAAACTTCGCTCCGACGAACCTTGGGCTTAACGGGCAAAACTCGCCCCAAGACGAATCCGCATGATAACGCCAAGCACACTGCTTACGACGGGCGATTGAGATTCGTACGATTTTGCAACTAAAAAAAAACTTTTTCAGAACACACTCGAATGCTAACGATATGTGAAGAAAAAAAAACAACCTTGTAGAACGCAGCGATAATAAAATGAGGTCAACATGCATACAACATAGGTTTAAAATTGAGGAATATCAGTGGTACCCTACAGGGGTTGGTTAATTGCAAATGCTTTAGCGTTTATTTGACAGTATACTGTATTTACTCCACTCATGCAATAAAAACTGGAAAACACCAACTCGATATCAACACAATGGTAGCGTTCTTGATAAAACTGTTGAAAGCAAAATTCTATAATATTACTGTTCATTCCCAATGTACTCAATACTATTAAAAGGAGCCGATAGGTTAGCAGAACCATAATTGTGATGGATATTAATTCATGTGGGAGGTTTCAAGTTTCTGCAATCCACCTATACAAATCGAGCTCTATACTTACCGCATCAAAAATTTAAGATCCCACAAAATGCTATAAGCAATTGTCTGTAATGAAAGAAAGAAAAAAAGATCAGCATTGGGTTTACTTTTTCTTTCTTTCTGCTTCTGTTGTAGATGCTATTATAAGGCACTTCACGTTCCTTTAAAAACACTCTTAAGACTGTATTGTTAGAATATGTTTCAGAATTCTCCTGCATTTGTATCTGACCGCAAGGAAAGCACAGTCGTACTCACCTGTAGTGCTATGATTCCAAACAACCCAAAGCAGGCATACTGTACAAAATTTCTACTGAGAATAAGGACACAGCCTCCTGTAAAGGACAGACAAAATGAGAAAGTCAGTTTTGTTTCCTTCAGTTGCTTTGACATATTCAATTCAAGCACTGAACTTTACCATTTGATTCTGATAAGCATGTACAAGAGCTTTGATAAGAGATATGAGCACCCATTATTTTTACATGAGATGTTTGCAAACTGTTTTGGCTGGTTGTTACTAAAACATTTAACTACTTATTTTTTACAATATCTTTTTTTACATCTTTTTTACAATAATCAATATCTGATCACTAAATAATATGCTGCATAACAAACTTAAAATGCTATTATATTATGCACCTATACAATATTATAAACTACCTAGCAAATAACCTAAATCAAGAGAACCTAAATGAGTTTAAAATAGCGTGTTATTTTAAGATGCAAATAGTATGCATCCTGCATACTCCTCATTTTAAACAGATCACTACTGCACTGCCAGTGTTCAGTGTTCTTGTACTGTACAATGGCACACAGCCCCGATACTCCATGAACTGTCCACTCCTGAATGTGTCCTTCATTTAGGCTTCTAGGCACGGTCCTGCTTTACTGTCTGAAACCTCACGGAAAACTTTCCGATAGGAATGTGGGTATTTGAAACAGGACTTTCGCCAAGATTTCCCAAGTGCATCAGCATTCAGAGAACAAAAATCCTGAAATACTTCAGGACATCAACGAACCCAAAAACGGTCTTGCCCAGATTCCTGCGGCCTACAGCTTCTTTCTGCTCGTGCGAGTGCGACTGCAACACAGTGGCCCCAAAATAAAAAAGGGCACAGAACGAAGAGCACCTTCAAAGAGCCCCTTTAAAGACCTGCACTAGCTGAAGCACCGATTCGACTTACTGGTCCTACCCTGCCCCCTCCTGCAGGCCCCCGGCGAGAGACAGGCAGACAAGACGAAGGTTTTGGGGCTACGGAGGAGGGAAACACTAGCGACTGACGGAAAAACGAGCTGGGACAACATGCTCGCGGTCGACTCTAGGCGCTCCAAATCAATAATCACACGCTGGCTAGCGGCCGTTCTCGAAACTGGAAGTATCGCTCCATCAATCACGTGGTCTAGCGTTACAATAGCTTAAAGGCCACCCTGTCAATCGACGTCATTCAATTGGCGTTTTGCCCCCTCTTTTTGCACATTTCGGAGTGAGAGTGCCGAGGGCTACGAACGCCACAGTCCGGCCCGGTTTGCAGCGGGTTATAACGGGCTGCCCCCTGCCCCCCCCAAGAGCCTCTCCCACCTAACTGGCCCATGAGGTTGAGCAGCACGAAGCAGGTGGCCAGGAAGTAGCCGCAGCTCCACGTGGCCTCGATGTAGTCCCTCTGCTCGTTCCACTGGAACCACATCCGGATGCCGTCCTCCAGGAACGTGCTGATGAGGCACAGGCGCGCCAGGTGGGGCAGGTACTGTTTCGTCATGCGCAGGAACTGCCGGGAGAGAGACAGAGGGGGCGGGGGCAGGAGAGCTGTGAAAGCAACGAAGCCACCTGG